ACAAATTCACTGTCATTGGTTAAAATTTCTATATATAAGTCTATGTAAATTAGAGTAAAGCCTGAAGAAGATCTAATTGAAAACGACAGTATCGTTGACGTATATATCTTGTTCTAATATTATTAATGGGAATACTTACAAAACTCTTAATTACTTCGACCACATACTATGCACATTGGAAAAATAAAGCAATCTCATGCAGTGTGTGTATTTTGTTTGATGGTATTATTGTATCTTTTTTTAATATTTCTGGAGATCTACACATATCTAGTTTGAGTTTGTCAACAGGCTTTCTTTTCGATCTTTCATTTTGTTTGTTATCTTACTTGAAATAGGGAGGTATTTATTACACTCTCAAAAATGAGCCAGGACTGAAACAGAATATATAAACACATGTATTATTGATATAAGTATAAAACTTGGGCACTGTAGCAGAGTATAACTCCATGATAGATAAGATTTTATTTTGATAAATCACACAGTATTTGTTATACAGTAATATTAACTGATGACCACTTTTCGAGCAAAAACTATTGCTCATGATCATATCAAGTCACTCACACACATGTGTTTTTTTATTTGTAACAGTTGTAAATGTTACTCAATGGTCATAATGCCCCATTATGGATACGATTTTATTTTGATTAAATCACACACTGTGTGTTTGTCGTACAGGAATATTTACTGATAATGACCACACGCTTCGAGCACAATGTATTATTGCTACTGGTCATAATCATATCAAGGCACTACTCACTCTACTCACTTCCTGCCTTCATTTATATACATGAGTAAAAATTGATGATTAGACATTTGATTGAATAAAATCAATCAGTAATATAAGATGATGCCACTTTAGTTCCATAAATCGACATACTACTGATTGACTAAGATGAGTAGTATTATTTGTTGCATACCACCCACAACATCATCTCAACCAGTAGTACTTGCCTGCCAGCTAGTTGGCTGGCCAGTGATCAAGGTGATTTTAACAAAACACTGGACGTCTATTTTACTCATTTGATCAGTGGTGTACACCCATTCTGTCTCTCAGCTCTCAGGCAGGCGAATCAGTTTTAAAGCACACCAGCCGATCTCTGTGGCTAGCTGGCAACTACCAATAGATCAAATTTAATGTTTGCAAATTACCCAACGATTTTCAATGTATGTACACAGGTCAAGTTGTGTGGTGATCACCATTTATGATATATTGTTGTGTATGTGCGTGTGATTTGAATATAATTTGGTTTACAAATAAAACTGTGATCTGGTGAGAAATTTCACACACACCTCTTTGAACTTTGTACTTTTGCGAATTGCGAACTTGTTTTTCCACTTATAACTTTCTTTCACTTCGTATGTTACTCTGTTTAGGTCTACTTATTAGTTGGTTGGAGGCAGTAGGCAGGAAGCCTTGCCTAGACCTAGGTTTCGTGTTAGTTGGCACTCATCAGTCAGTCAGCAAGGCGTATCTTCAACCCTGAAAGAACTCATGTCCCTTCTGAGATTCCAACCCGCGCCACCCAGTGAGTACTGCAGTCAGAGACGTTACCACTGAGCTATTCGGGATAGCGATTGACCTCCTGTAGGACTGTATTGGATACTTTGATTGGACACTTGTAACTAGTGTGATATGTCTGGCTAGTCCTTTGTTTGTTACAGACTGAATTCTATCAGTCAATCAGGTTTGCAATGTGGCCACCATGCCACTAGGGGGCTGGCTCGCCATCACAGTGCACATTAATCTGATGATATTGGATGATTGGGAGCAATAAGCCACATGAAGCCATGGATCTAGGTTTCGTGCAAGGCGTGTCTGCAACCCCTCTGAGATTCGAACTCGCGTCAACTGCCTTCCTGTCAATTGCCTCCAGCAGTCTACTGTCATCAAACCAATGTGCACCGTGATGGCGAGCTACTTAGTGGCATGGTGGCCACATTGCAAACCTGACTGACTGATAGAATTCAGTCTGCAACAAACAAAGGACTAGCCAGACACATCACACTAGTAACAAGCGTCCAATCAAAGTAGTTCTGCCTATTTTTAATCTGATATACTACTGTCTAGCACATCATCGTCATTGTCATCATAAACCGATTTCCTCGTATTAGGACAAAGTTTTGTACTACATTGCATTGATCTGCCTTTTTGGTAACATAATGACGCATGGTAAGCTAACTTGCTAGCTAGCTATCTATTCATACTTTTTGCTTTCCCTTTATATTATCAGTTTAGAGTATAATCCCAACAATTAAGTTGATACATATTAAGAAAATGTAATTTTTAGGGATATATGTATTATTATTCTCATTATTATTATCACTGATGAAACGCTTACTTTACTTTGGAAGGCCACCGCTTTTAATCGACTGAACTGGACAAGCTTCTATTAGTCCTGTGCATGCATAGCTTCTCTAGCCTTCTAATCATCCCGTCTAATATTTCATGCTATTTTTTTTCTTTTCTAAAAGACTAAGTACTTGCGTATTTGTATTCTTTTATTTTATTCACCTGATTGCTTAATTGGTAGTGTTGAATCGCCATGGTAACATCATTATGATGAGCATATGTATGTATGTGTATACGGTCGGTTGTTTGTATTTTCAGACTGACGTTGGCTACTACCGCTATTGAATCGTATCGTAGGAAAGAAAGTACACGTAGTTAGTTAATTAGTTAGGTAGGTAGTTAGTCAGTCAGTCAGTCAACAAAACGCATAAGTTAACAGTGTTAATATCTGTGTTGTGCATTGATTATTATGGTTGATAATAATAATAATAACAAGAAGAAGAAATTTAACTATAAAGTCAAGTTATTCTCAAGTATTGACTTTGTAGGGATTCTGTTTGTTTGATTGGTTAGGGGATTTAATCATAAGCTAACTCAGTTAGACGCGTCGGTGGCATAGCGGTTAGGACGCTCGCCGACCATGCACATGGTCCGGGGTTCGATCCCCGACCGACTCACTCCTTTACCTCGCTAAGCCAGAAATAATGCTGGTGAAGAGGAAAGGTTGGGCATGAGGCTAGTTACCCCATCCTGTAAAATAAACACTGCTACAGAAACTTCAAGCCACTAGCTTGAAGCCCTATGTTCCACTGGGGAACGTGATGGAAAAAAAATAACTCAGAGAACCATTAGAAAAACAGATGGGAGTACTGCGAGACAGCTGTTTCGTCAGCCTAGTTTAGGACTCTTCAGCTTGATGGTCTACGAGCTAGCTCGCCTTGTAACCAGAAGTTCGTGGTTTCGAACGTGAGTGGTGTGTGTGCGTACTGCTGGAAGAGCCAGTCCCGAACTAGACTGACAAAACAGCTGCCTTGCAGAACTCCCATGAGGTTTTCCAATGGTTCTCTAACCAACCGATGTCAGCTCATAATGAAACCCTCCAACCAATCAAGTTATGCTGAATTTGCTTTTTAAACAACAACCTATTTTACCCTAACGGATAACGTTTCACATCTATTGATATTTATAATTATCCATGCGAGTGGATATGCATCATGTAAGGTAGCCTTTACACATCGGTATACTTCAGCGTTTCTATGGATTTAGAATTCCAGTTATGATAATATTATACTATTATTAATATTATTATTATTAGTAGTAGTATTTATTTTTATTTATTTTTGATTGCAGCTTGATTCCACACCGTATTTCTTGGTACAGGTATGGAATTTTCAGCATGTGATATCGGTAGCCCAAATTTTGCAGGCCGACCATAGATATCAGGTGTGCGTCGGCAGGGGATCGAACCCCGGCCCATGTGCACGGTCGGCGAGAGTCTACCACTGTGCCACCGACGCACTATTATTACTATTACTCCCTTGGGTTACGAGTGGAACATAAGACTTTAACAGCATCAAATCTCCACTTTGCCCTGTTTTCTGCAATCCTGTTTGTCTGGTCCTTAGGATTCCCCCTCTCCCACCTCAGGTCTTCATCTCTTCCTCACAGTTGATCTCCTCTATATCACCATCGGACCAACACCCCACATTGACGTTTGTCATTCAGGTTCTAGTCAAGAGGCCTGACGTATGATGTCACTCGACAGTCTACTTAGTGTGTCTCAGATTTGTGTCCATTTTCTTCGGATTGTTTGTTGAGGAACAGGTTGTTTTAATTGGCTCATTCCCAGAGTGTATTGTTACTAAATCCTCCTGGCCTCTCATCTGATCTTCAGCAGTTGTTGATAAAAGTTTGTAGTGTTGTTGAAAATGCTTTTGATGACGACGACGGGCACACCATGTTTCTGATCCCCATGTAGAAGAAATGGACTCAATCGACATTGTTGTTTATTTTGTTTTGAGTGCAAAGGATTTCCAAACTTATATTAGATGTGATGAAGGTCTGTCTCTTGCCCTTCTCATTCTGGTTTACATCCTTATATGTGGCATGTGATGTTTTAGTTGAAACGATTCTTTCTATATATAGGTGATGGAAGTGACGTTTTTCAAATTTCTTCCGTTAAAGTCCTATATTTTCTCTCAACGTGGTGGTTTTCATCTGTAAGTCTTCGAGTGTGTGTGTATGTGTGTCTTCTGTAGCCTTCTTATCAGTCCACTTCATCCCGTCTTCTCGCTCCACATCCACAACATTCTGCATTATCCGTTTTGGATCACTTGACACATGGCATTATCTTAAAGCCAGCCAGCTGTTCAATAAGGTTGAAGTGGTTTCCGAATTTCTTTCATTCGTTTTCCTCATTTATGCGGGTTGACAGTGGTTAGACTACTGCCATGGGTCATTGGTTTCCGTCTCAGTGGTTGCTCAATGGCGCCGCCAATAGGCTAAAGATAAAACTGTCCAAGTTATTATATGACCTAACTTGAAATGAATAGAATCCCTGCAAATCAACTTTTTGAATCATTTCATTGTGTGATTTTTTTCTCTAGAAATCTCTTTTCTTCACTTGTTTGTTTGGTTTTATTTTACCTCATCATTGTTAACCTCTTATCTTCCTTTCTCTCTCTTCTCTCGCTGTCTGTATTTTTATCAGGTAAAATAAAGTACACAGAAGAAGTTTACGAGGCGTGTATGGAAGCATTCGACTGTTTACCATTGGCAGCTTTAATGAATCAACAATTTTTATGTGTTCATGGTGGTCTTTCTCCTGAAGTTCATACTTTGGATGATATACGCCGTGTAAGTATACTTCTTCTTTTGTTTGTTTGTTTGTTTGTTCACCATCATGGATTTACTTCGGATTTTCATTTGCAAATTTTATGTCTTCTAAAATATTATATGTGTATGTCCAAACAAAGTTCATTTTTAACAGTTTGAAAAAAATTAGGCATTGGGTATATATGATAGATTCATTATAATAAAGGTTTATTTTTTGTATTTTCCATGATCTTAACGGATGGGAAGGAAAAAGCGGAAGAAGAAGAAATATCAAACATTACTGAGAATCTCAAGCAAAACAACTACCCAAAGAACTTCATCAACAAAATCAACACTGACATTAAATATCGTCGAAAACGTATTCTGAAGACATGGATGGACTTCAACAGTTGTCATTCCATATAAACCAGAGACGTCAGACGATAGATACCAGAAGAGTACTCAACATCAGCACGACATCAGAGTTTTTTCGTCAAAACATCAGACACGCACACACACACACTGCAAAGCAATCTTGTCCATATAAAAGACCAAGTCCCTAAGGATCCTCTAGCTAATTGTGTCTACAGAATAAAATGCATGCATTGTGTTGCGAAATGCATGCGACAAACATCGCTAGAGGGAAATCAAGGTAATCAGAAGAAATGAACACCGTAGAGCCGTATCTGTTCGACCACCGAGAAATAAATCCAGGTGAACTAGAAAAGCTTGGAAAATCATCAGCCACAGGTCGTCTAAACGCTACGCTAAGCTGTAGAATCTATCAGGTCACAAAAGTGATTTTGATAATACTGAAATCATCATCCAGAAAAATCTTAGAAATCACAAAGAATATCTGATATCATCAAAAGCAATCCACATCAAATGGAATCCAAATTGTCTGAACTGAATACGAATGATGGACTGAAACAGTATTTGACCTGGTTACAACACAATACCCCCGATTTCTCGCATTAAATGACAGAATGAACACGAATGTGATGAGCGATTTCATTACGTAAACACATGCTGCTTCATTATTTTATACACTTATCAAATCCAACAATCTACACCTGGTTTTGTTATCTTTACCAATTGGCCAACTTGACAGCAACGTGAAAATGATCCCATGCTGATGAACGATGACTAAGTTGTTATGTGTATAAATAAGCTGAGTGGATTTCGTAAATTCTTCTGGTTTAATATTACTCCTTTGAAGATAAAGCTATTAGCAGCAGCACTAAATAGAGAAACGTCGTCAGTAAAAACAACGACAATATCGTCTTCTTTTTCATTAATTGGGAAGATATTATTTTTCTAATACTGTTTTTTTACACACCTCCACACTTATAATCTCTAGTTTAACACTGCTTTTTCCATAGGAATTGCTTGCCTAGTTTAGGTGGAAATCTGTTATCCGTTTCAAAGCCAGGAGGAATGTATCTCCCGGGAATTGAACCCAGATCACGTGCGTATTTGCAGGTATAACTATCTCAATTATGTTACAGTATTGCAGCTGAAATTTGTCGAATACTGTTGACATGAACAGAGAGTATGCGTTATTGCGATGTGATCCTTGCATGATTTGTTCTTCTTTTCAGGATCTAGCTTATCCCAGGTGTAATATATTCTTTTTGTGTGATGACGGAGCATGATTCCTTAAGTCACACTTTTGGCAGTTGGACAAGGTATCCATCCTTCTTACTAGTCAGTAGATATCTTCTCTTTCTTCCACACCTCCTACACTAAATGGCGTGAGTATGTCCACTGAGGTTTTCTGGCTTGTTTCTCAGCCTTCAGTAACTTTACTGCTCTCAAGATTTCTGTTTCTGCCGGTGAGTTGTTGTTCACTGACAGTTAGTTCTGTGTCTCATGATTGTATTCCTTGATGAGATGTAGGTGATGCTCGATTCAATGGTTCTTTTTGCCTCAGGAGTTCCTCTTTTCCGCCTCTTTAGTAATTGGGTTTCCTTCCCCTTATTTCACTGGATTTGACGTTCGTTTGTGCTCCTTCATGATAACAACCTAGTTATTTGATACATTTGATACATCCATTCTGTCTTCTCACAGATTCTGATCACCTTTATACGATATCTTCTTGCCTCTTGTGCAATCTATGCAGTCTTATCAGCAAACTAGTCAGAATGAAACATGCTGCGTATATTCCATTTCCTAAAGGCAGATTAAGTTGACTGGCTTCATTAACGCTTTGTGATCCATTGGAGTCATCAATCCTTGTATTTCTAAGATGTCTTCCCAATTCTGTCGGAGAACATATTTAGTTTAGTTAATTTCTGATTTCGTGGCGATTTATGTCTAAAATGTTACACAAACTATACAGACTTACAGGGGAAAACTAACAAGTTGTCAGAAGTGACTGGCAGCGAATACGGGACTTCAAATGTGAACAAAGATAGAAGAAGGAGGTCATCAAGGTGCCTACCCAACCAACCTACCAAAAACAACGACCAATCACTATCAAAGGTATATAAGTTTGAAAGAGGTCACGCTTCAATTATCTAGATATCATTGTTTCAACTACACGTGGCACAGACAAAGATATCAAGGGCGGGATAGGCAGAAGGTAGAACAGACCTTCATCACTTTCAAATGTGTGTGGAAATCTTCGGAATTCAGTATAAGGAACAACACCTAGTGTCTTTATGGTTCAAAGACTTGAAGAGCGCGTCATGTAAAGCATTTCTGAGGGACTACGGCAGTATTTTAAATCAACAACTGCTTTCTCCGGCTTGATACTGAAGATCGGATTGTTAGTGGAAAGAATAAGCGTCAAGGTACTCTGGGAACAAACCAAACTAGCCTATTGGTGAACCAACACATATTCTGAAGGAAATGAGGACGGATAGGAAGCACGTTGAGAAGACCGCCCATTGAGTGACACCACGCTCCAGGCCATTGCTCGAATGGAATTTTGTTGGGAAATAGCGAGGTAGGTAGACGAGGAGGAGGTGAGAACTTATAGGGAATTGTGGGGTCAGAGAGAACAGGACACAATGTAGATGTTCTGTTGAAGCCCTATGTTCCACTTCGAGCCCAAGGGAATGATAATAACATTGTGCAAAATAACTGATACCAGTCAACTCTTATGGTGAATCATTTCATTGTTATAAGATTATTATTGTTATTCTAATATTCAGGAGTTGGTTTATAAGGATTAGATTTGTTTTTTCGAGTTTGCCCATGGATTAATATCAGTTGGAGAACCATTGAAAACCAGCTGTGGGAGTACTGCCAGACAGCTGTTTCATCAGCCTAGTTTGGGAATCATCGGCAGTACTCACCCACAACAGTGGAGTTCGAACCTAGAACCTTCCGGTTACAAGGCAAGCTAGCTCGTATACCATTCAGCTACTCACTGGGACCTGCCTGATTCAATGACATTGGTTGGTGCTAGTTGCGCTAAATGCATCACAAATTGGTAGAAGTTAGAATTCATGGGCTGGCTGGCCATTGAATCGGATCTCAGTGAGCGACTGAATTGTATACGAGGTGGGTCCTGGGTTCGAACCCCACTGTGGTGGGTGCGTACTGCCGATGATTCCCAAACTAGGCTGATAAAGCAGCTGTCTGGTAGTACTCCCCCAGCTGGTTTTCAGTGCTTCTCTAACTGTTATTCTAATACTTTTTTCCTTATAAACTTTGTCAGAAAATGATGAGTAGACTTATTTTCTACACTTATTGATAAATATAGACATACCGCATATATTATGAAGTTAGTAAACCTCTGTATGTACATACACATACACACACACCCATACTTACATACATATGTAGACTACAATCATCATTTTTGCTGCCTATCTATTTACGAATCAGCGTGTTGTTACATCCAGTTCACGCTTATTGATCAAATTTTTCTGTCTTTCTTCATGTTGTTGTATAATCAATCTCTCCCTATTCATCATCATCATCACCATCATCAACATCAACATCATCGTCAGTTGAGAATGAATGCATTCTTATTTTTTTTTATCACAACATCTAAATTATATTATCACACTTGTAAGTGGATTGATTAATTATAAATAATAATAATGGGGAATGTACTCAGATTAGATACTTGTAAACTCTTTTGAATTCTTATTTTCATTCTCTATTTTACTATTTGTCTCTCCTTGTCATTATAATATGTCTGTGTATGTGTGTGTGTGTGGTATAGTTGAATTTTTCAGTGAATTTGTGAAATTTGTGAAGAATTTTGCTGAGGACAGAAAACATAGCCTGTTTGCGTTGCCTGTTTCCATTGATGTAAACTGTTAAGGATGCCTATATTGTGTCTATTGTGGCATGTTTAGTAGTAGTAGTAGTGGTGGTAGTAAATAACATCTGAATACATTCCTTTATATACACAGAGCTTGAATTACCTGTGTGTAGTGTTGAAAAACAACCTGTAAGCGAGTGTATTTTCTTCCGATAATAAGTCGTATTATTTTTCAAAAGAATGGTTACATTGAACAAAGAATATTCACATTTTTGCGAAAACCTGCTCTTCATCATCCCCCAGGTTCTACAGTTATATATGCATCCATCCATAATAGTGATTGAATGAATTAGTGTTATTAACAACACTAATGTTGTTTGAATAACATCGAATCAATAAGAATAATAAGATCACTGGATTACAGTTCGATACCATCAACATAACAATACATTGAATGAATATCAGAAAAATTAGGAGAGATGATAATAATACAAATTCATGAATTTGTTATAGTCTCTATTGAAGGCCGGCCAGGGCATGAGTGGTGGCTGGTTGAATCTGTTTCTTTCGCACACACACAGCACTGGTTATTTCAGGCGAATCGTGATAGCCTTTGCTGTTTGGAGTATGCGGTACCTAGATGTTTTTGTCAGTTTATTAGGTACCTGATAGATGATGTCGGAGAAGGGTCAGGTGGTTTATTGTCGTACTGTTGATAGCTTTTACTACACTTTTACTTGGCCATATTGGTAGATGTTCCTGAGCGAGGACAAAAATGAAGTTCCTAGAGCAACGACCAATATAATTCGCTCCACCACAATCTCAGTTGAATCGGTAGGTATAAATAAAGGGGTGACTAGTCTAGTCTAGTTTAGGTACTTTATCTTTCAATTGGGCAATCACCACTGGTCGTGTAGAAAATAAGATTTGCTGCAGTTTGCCAGAATTAAAAGATCTTTGAATATATTTTCTTAACTTGTTAGCAAATATTTCACCAGGTGCATCACCCTTGAATTGCAGTCGTATGTATAAAGGTTTCTTATGTACAGATGGAGAATAGTCCTTTTTCACTTTCTTTGTCATGTGTTTCTTGATAAATATGTCAGGATAGCTGGCTATTTTCAATCAAGGTGTCATACACAATCCTTATTTCATCTTCACTTACCTCTTCTGGGCATATAGCTCTAACCCTAGTAAGGGTGCTAACGAAATTTCTTTTTACTGGAGAGGAACGAAGCTGTGAAAATGTGTATAATATTGTCATGTCCATATCCTTTTAATATATGCAAATTTCTTTTTATCCTACCATGTGGTTTTCAATCAAAAAGCGGTTAAATGAATATATGGAGAGGTTTTTGATTTTTTTTCTTGTTCCAAGTATAATAACACTATCAACTCGTTCACTTTTACTTTTCCTTAAACAGTTCATATGAGAGATAAGTTTGAATAAGTTGTGTTCTCTTTGGGCTGAGCTGGTGGTTGATGATTTAATTGCGAAGCTTTCGTCGTTCCTCATCTAAGCAACACCCCATCCCGCTCAGCTTTTCCCTCCGTGAATGATGATATAATTGTATCTTGTCGTTTGGCAACCATTGTTGTGATTGGTTGTCAGTTTACATTGATCGTATTTTTACTGACTTGGAATGTGAACTTTCCCGCCATGTCAGGTGATCAGTTACTTTTTATTATTTGGTAAATTTGGTCTGTAGTAGTTAATATGTGTTTGTTAATCGTTGGCTGATTCACTTGAGTGTACCACACAGGCTTCTAGAAATTCCCTGACTGCATGCCTGGTGTTTCCTCTATATTACAATTTCTACATTATCCCGCCGATCAAATTGGTGTCCATAATTATCTTTATGCATTGACATGATGAAAGAATATAGACATGATGTTTTTTTACAACCAATTTGTATTCTTCTCTCCGGATTAGAAGGGGACACCCACTCTGACTGTTGAAATGTTTATTATAGTTCATGCATGCAATATATTTTGTAAATGGTATTATATTACACTGCGAACTTGACTCATCGAATTCAATCTGCACCAACGATAAAGGACTAGACACATTACACTAATTACTGACTAGTGTACAATTGAAATTACATTTTATACTAAAACCTACGTTGAATTGGGGGGATGTTGTCTTGCTGGGGGTTGACGAAAGCCTCGCAATTAAATCATCAACCGCCAACTCAGAGAAGAAGAGGCAACTAATTCAGTATCATACGCCTGAGCTACAAATCTACGCCGTCATTTGAAAATCTTACGAGAAATTAGTTTATATAAAACAACACACAGTATTGATACGGTATATTAATAACAAATTGGCAGACGTTTCGAGCACAATTTATTGCTGCTCATAACCATATCAAAATATTATTTGCATGGCTTCATAATTCGCTTGACATAATAATAATAATAATAATAATAGCAGCTTTATTCTGGACTGTCACAACGAAAGCAGAAATCCTGAAGGTCATAAAAATGCTAAAAACTGGAAAAGCAGCAGGACCAGATGGAATCCCCGCAGAAGCATTGAAAATGGACTCCGAAACATCAGCGGACTTGATGATACCACAACTGAAGAAGGGGTGGATACACGGCAAGGTTCCTGCGGATTGGAAGAAAGGCTACTTATTCAAAATACCAAAGAAAAAAGACTCAAGTCAAAGCAAGAACTGACGTGGCATTATGATCTTGTCTATCTCATGCAAAATACTAAGCCCTGGATGAAAAAATTCGACCGGAACAGGCTGGATTCCGAAGAAATAAGTCAAGCATCGATCTAATCTCAACACTACGGATCATCATTGAACAGAGCTTGGAATGGCAGTCAACCTCTATCTCTACCTCAACTTCGCCGACTTTGAAAAGGCCTTCGACAGCGTCGATCGAGAGGTGGCGATTTGGTAACCACTTCGCTACTACGGGATGCTGCCAACGATTACTCACCTCAGCCATCTAACAGTTTTACGATAATGCTGCATGCCAAGTAATCCACAACCCAAACTCACGGAGTCCTTCTAAGTGAAGATGGGAGTAAGACAAGGCTGACTAATATCTCCAATGATTTTCCTGATTGTGGTAGACTGGATAATGCGACAGACATACAGAGGGCAACGAGGAAACAGGCATAAAATGGACCTCGACAAAAAACTTGGAGGATCTGAACCGGGATTTCACCACTGATATATGTCTGATTTCCCACAAACTGGAAGAGATGCAAGTGAAAAGCAGCAAGTTGGCAGAAACATTCACAGAAGATAGGCCTTCAGGTAAACATAGCGAAAACAGAGGTGATGAAGATTCCTAGCCAACAGCAACAGCAGTAAAAGCAACAGACAACAATTAGCATAAATGGGAGAAGTCTGAAAGAAGCCACCTCCTTACCTGCCTACCGACCGACCTTGGAAGCATCGGTTCAACTACAGGCGGACGGATGGAACTGATGAGGATACTTGAGCGAGGATCGGGAAAGCAAGACAAGCCTTCATTACTCTCATCAAGTCTGTGTGGAGATGAGCAGCACTCAGCATGAAAAATAAGATCCGGATTTTCAGCTTCAATGTGAAGTCAGTGCTAAAATGCGGATCAAAGACTTGGCTCCACGCCGTGTCACATAACGAAGGCCACTTCGAACAAACTACAGACCCTCCCTCATCAACACTTGTCTTCGCTCAATACTTCGCTGAAGATCAGATGGCCGACCAGAAAAGATGAGCAACAGGGATCTCTGGCAATGAGTCAACGAACCAAGCCAACCCAGCGCGAATCGATTGTGCAACAAATATGCAGGAAGAAATCGAGGTGTATTAGATTGCGGTCATACTGTGTAAAAACAAACCATCAAGTGAGTGACGTCACACACCAGATTGTCTCTCTCTCGAGTGGAACCCAGATGGGAAACGGCGAGTTGGTTGGTCATCAGTGTGGCGGTGACATGGAGGAGAGGGTGGTGGTGCAAAGAGGAGATGAAAGCATATGGGTAGACATGTAGCTAGGTGAGAAAAAGTTGGCAGAGAACCGAACGCGATGGAGACGTGCGCCTGAAGCCCTATGTTCGTCTAGGACTTAAAGGAAACAACAATAATGAATAATAATTTATTTTGGACAGTGTCTACACACAATGTTCAGAATTTTCCGCCGGAGTTTATTGTATGCTACAATTTTCCATATTTTCCGTATTGGCGCTGCTTTATATCGATTGTATCTGCACGGTGTTGAATCGATAAACAAAGGTTCAGTGATTAGCGTTTCTCTCTCTCTCTCCACCTAACTGTATTACCCTGTTGTGTGATTACGTGCGAGTGAATGCAATGCAATGGCTTGATACTGTCAATCATTCTAGGTCTAGCTAAATTTCTATGCTCCGATAACCTAATTGACCCCGATGTATTAGTTTGAAATATGGAATTCACCTCACAGTCATTACTTCATGGTATTTGATAAACTATATTATTTCTTAATTAATCTCTGGGTAATTTCGTTGTTTGGCTTAAATGCCACTCTAATTTCAGCCTTATTGAGAATCTTATATAAGGCCTCTGATATTCCTTATTTATTACGGCACAGTACTTAAGAGTCTTTGAATTTCACATTACTCTTATTATTCTCATTACTAATCTTATTTTTTCTGTGGGTTTTCATTACATTTTTGAATAAATTCTGGTGGGTAGTGAGTGTGTTATTCACTAGTAATATTTCCTTTATTTGTTTGATTTCATTATTTAAATCTTCTGGCTGACTACTAGTTAGGCTATTGTCCTGATTATATAGACATTTAACTAAACCTATCTTCCTTTACCGATTCTGGATGGGATGAATTAAAGTCTAGGCAATTATTAGAGTTTTCAACTATAGGCGGAATGGATGGAGATGTCAAAGTCAATCGGAATCGGGAAGACAAGATATGCCTCCATCAAACTGAAACCAGTTTGGAAATCTTATGCACTGCACTCCATCTCAGCTAGCATAAACAACAAGATTCGGATTCTATTCAACACCAATGTCAAGTCGGTCAGTCAGTGCTTCAATACGAGTTAGAAACTTGCACTGCGCGTACGTCACGAAAAGGATTTCCAACAGCCTGCTGCGGACTTTCATCAACAGCTGCCCTCTTCACCAACTCCATACTGAAGGTGAAATGGCTGGCCAGCCAGAAAGAATTAGTAACAAGAAACTCTGCAGGGAAACAAACTAACAGGCAAGAGCCGATCGCAGCTCAGCTAAGTGAATGAATCCACCGCGGAAAAGAGACTTCTCGCTGAACACTACGTGTTTTGTTTTCAAGAATTGTTTTCGCCTGTGAAACTACTAGCATTCATTATTTTCTTATGTTGTACATCTGCAGATTGATCGATACAGAGAACCCCCTGCTTTTGGTCCTATGTGTGATCTTCTCTGGTCTGATCCATTGGAAGATTTTGGCAGTGAAAAGTCATTAGACCATTTTTCGCACAATAGTGTTCGTGGTTGTTCTTTCTTTTTCAGGTAAGTTAATTTTCGGTGTTGTTTTGTTGATGCAGACATTAACCACATCATCATATGAGGTGGAGGGAGGGTTGGTATATTTAGCACGCGATTCGCTTCTGCTGTCAAATGTAAGATGATGCTACAGGATTGGACTACACTGACTCCTAGCTTGAAGATAGGGAGTGAAATGGTAGTGCGTGTTGGCCACTTCATTTATTTAGGGGGGTGGATCGCTGGCGAGACCTCAGCATGGATACAGAAGTCTCGTTCGTCATACGCCAACTTACTCCATCTCTGACTGAGTAGACGTGATATCCGACTGGCTGTTGACCGAAGGGCATGTGTGCTGCTCAGCAGAAGTTCGCTTCGTCCTCCTTTATGGCTGGCTGTGAGACCTGGCCATTCGGATCGGATTGGTTTTCGACATAGAACTTTGCACATATGTGCGGCAGTTCAAGTCGCCACACTCCATGTAGCACACAAAGCAAGAGAAGAAAGTAGGAGAATTGCATAATATAAACAGTAAACAGAGGTGTGAGACAAATGAATAGTAATAACGAAGAACAAAACAGTTTAATTGGAAATCATAAGTCACAAGAAGTGGATGCATCTGCGCCACTGAGAACGATTTTGAGCCATGTCACCAATTGTTTCCAACCATTGGTTTTTACCGTCCCGAGGACCCCAACCAGGAAGTCTACACCTTCCTACGTGGCTTAAACTAACTGTTGTGGATTTCATTGACTGGTGCCATGTTTTCGTTTGACCACCGCTAGCTCTTTTCCAGCCTGACCCTATATCAGCTAACATTGCCCGTCGAGGAAGGCGATGACTAGACATACGTAACACATGTCCTAACCATCTCAGTCGAAGTAATTTCACAGTCTCGTCGACTGATTTCCCCGCCTTACCTAGCACTCGACGCCTAACCTCAATATTGCTCACCTTATTATACCACTTCACGCGGGAGATAGAACGCAGACACCTATGATCGAAGACAGCTAATCTTTTCATGTCTTCCGCTCTCAATGGCCAGGTCTCACAGTCATAAAGGAGGACGGAGCGGACTGTTGACCTGGCCATTAAAAGTGGAAGGCATGAAAAGCCAGGCTAGCTAGCTGTCTTTGACCATAAGTGCCTGCCTTCTATCCCCCTTGTTAGGTGATAGGTGTAACTGGGTTATGGTCCTCGAGACTGTAAAAACCGATGAAGGCTGGAGACAATTGGTGATATGGCTGGCGCAGATGCATCCACTCATTGTGACTTATAATATCCAATAAAACTATATTGTTCTTCCACATTCCTGTTCTTTTTGCCTTACACTTCTGTTAATTTCTGTTTTAAATCTCTCTTCACTCTCTCCTATTGGTTTGTACGCTATATGGAGGGGGAGTGTGTGTCAACTTGAACTGCTGCACATTTGTGCAAAGTTCTGCGCTGAAATCAATCAGTCAGTCAGTCAATGTGAAAGTGGTGGTGAATAAATAAGGAACTTGTTGAATGTTTATTTCAAGCGAACTAACTACTGATTATCCATCCTAGTTTTATTATGCTGCTAAATAATTTGATGAAGTTACTTATTTTCTCTGATTTAGAGACAGAAAAATGAGCAGATATTTCGCAATTATTGTTGTTGTTTCACAAACAACAGCATGAATTTATGTTATAAACATTCATGTAGTCAAGGTAGTAATGGTTGGTATTCATTCAAGAGTTAGTTTGTAAAGGATTTGATTTGTTTTGAAATTTGATCACGAGTTGACATGAATCAGAGAACTATTGAAAATTCAACGAATATTGGACAGTTGTCACGTTCTAGTTTGGGACTCTTCTCAGCAGTACATACCCACCCACCAGGGTTTCCAACCCGCAGGACCTTACGGTTACAAGTCAAACTAGTAGACCATTCAGTGGCCAGTTGACGAATTCCAAGTCGTCGCGCTAAAATCATGAATTGGTAGAAGTTGGAATTCATGCACACTGGTCATTGAACCAGGTCCCAGTGGCTGAATGGTCTACGAGCTCGCCTTGTAATCGGAAGATCCTGGGTTCGAAGCCTGGTGGTGGGTGGTGGCGACTGCTGTGAAGAAGTACGAAACTAGGACGAAGCACTTGTGTCCAGTACTCCCCAGTGGTTTTACAATGGCTCTCTAAATAATAAGGTCAACTTGTGATGAAACCTGTAATTCTGGGTATCCGTAATTATTCCCCTTTTTCAGTCGTTATTTTCACATTTGAATCGTGGATCATTTCGTTTAAGCACTACTGTGAGAATATTATTCCGTTGGAACAAATTATCTCTATCACACGACCACACTCGTTCCCCCGTCAAATACTTTCGACTGAAGTCAATCCGATCTTTTTGCTGCTGGCGCCTTTGTTTGCTTGTCTCGCTCTATCCAGGCTGAGACACCAAATGTAACAGCAGAAGGCAAGACACAGAATCAAAAGTATATTTTCTAGTGATCAAACCGCTATATATATGTAGTTTTATATTCTCTAACTAATCACGGAGTGTGTGATTTTGGTTTACATTAAACGACATGAAATAGAATGTTCAAATATATATACATATCGTATTCTATCGTGCTAATGCAGCGTTGAACTGTGGGAACAGTATATGTGAGAATAACATTCCGTCGGAACACGTTGTCTATATCACACCACCACACTACTACAACTGCTAATTTTTTTATTCCTTCACACTCCAAAAGAAACATAAGGCACTTGAAGCTAGAGCTTTGAAGTTACGGTGGCAGTGGTGTTTATTTTTACGGGATGGGATTGCTAATCTTTCATGCCCAGCCCTCCCTCCTTACCAGTCTTATAGCCGACGTAGTGAGGTAACAAAGTGCGTCAGTGGCCAGGGGATTGAACCCCGAACCACATGGTGGCGTAATTGGCGGTGAGCATTTCTGCTGTGCCACGAACACACTAGTACTGCTACTCGTAAAAATAATAATAATAATAATAATAATAATAGAGTTGGGCTTTAAGAATGCAATGCAAAGCGTCATGTACCGTCTAATAAGTTAAATGTAACTTTATTTGTTTTGTTTCTTAGAAGGAAGGATTTACATTTTATCCACTTGTAAACTAGTAGTAAAATGTCTTTTTTTAATCTTTTTCTTCTTTTTATCAAAATCGCTCTGCTTTGTTTAAAATAACCTAACTGATTATAAAGTTATGCTGCATGCTGTGATTTCTTACAAGCCAACAGCCTCCTTTCCATTATACGTGCTCACGAAGCTCAGGATGCTGGGTAAGTGATCAACTTCTTATTTGATACATGTAATATTGACAACATTTACAATTAGATCGAGTGAGTCATTAACATGAAAAAAAGTTTTCCTTAATTTTTGCCGTCATCAGGCTTCAAATCTTTGTGTGTGTATAACATTAAAGATGATTACGAAGATAACTAAGACATTGTGAAGTGGTCGCGCTATGTCGTGCGTGAATTGGCAGAAGTTAGAATTCATGGACTGGCTGGCCATTGGATCAGGTCCCAGTGAGTGCTACTTAATGGGCTACGAACACGCTTGCCTTGTACCAGAAGGTCCTGGTTTCGAACCTTGGTGGTGGATGTGTACTGATGAAGAGACAGTCCCAAGCACTAGGATGGTGAAAACAGCTATCCAGTACTCTTAAGAGGTTTTCAAATGGTCCTCCTCTAACCGATGTTAGCTCATGACGAAATCCTTCAAGAAATCAGTTTTAGTCATTTCAACCAGTTCGATAATGTGGGATGCAAGCATTACATTCTGCAAGTAGGCGATTATTGTGCATCGTTGACGATTCAGTGGTAGAGCACCCGCCAACCACGCATCCATATGTTCCGAGGTTCTATTCCAGGCTGACGCACTCCTAAGACCTCTCTTAGCAGTCGGTAGTAAGCTCGAGTTAAGGAACAAGATTCGGATTTTCAACACTAGTGTGTCACGAAAAGGATTTCCAACAGGCTACAGCAGACTTTTATCAACAGCTGCCACCTTCACTGGCTGGGTCCATACTTAAAATCAAATGGCCTGCCAGAAAGGATTAGTAACAAGAAACTCTGGCTGAGAACAAACCGACAGGCAAGAGACGATCGCTCAACAAATATGTAGAAGAAAATGGAGATGGATTGATCGGGCAAACATTGAGGAGACCATCGATTGACATCGCGCGCCAGGCCCCCGAGTGGATTCCCAATAGGAAGCGACGGCTGATTGGGTTGTCTATACTATTGTGACATGGAAGAGATAGTGTGAGTTGGAGGGAGACTGAGATGAGAGGTTATGGGCAGTCGTGAGGTCAGCCAGTTGAAGAGGATGGCAGAAGCTAGGAGAAAGTGGAGATTTGTTGTTAAAGCCCTGCGTTCCACTCGGAACTCAAGGGTATATAATATAATAATTGTGATCAGATCGTTTAGGAGGGATTTTCCAAATAATTTTTTTGTTACATTAATTGGGTGGGTAGAAACTGAAATGAAATTAAAAATAATTAAATTTAGTGGCGTAATACAATTAATTGACTAGATTGAGTAGAACTCAAATTAAATTGAAATTAAAGACAAGCTAACAATAGTGATAATAAGGAGTAGATATATTATACGTTTGAGGGGAAGAGAGAGAGAATATATATACAATATAATCAAATACCAAAACGAAAAGTTGCCCATTCGGTGTTAAGACAGATCAGGTCCATTGTAGATTTAATGACTGAACAAACTTTTCCCGTATGCAGAGTTCGTCATTTTACAAATGGTGAATTACCATTGCTTCTGCGGGGTTTAAAGAAGTTTGATATGTGTATCCTTTTAGCAAGATTCCCGTGTATTCTGTAGCTGACTTTGAGTTTTGGTTTGCGGATTCTCTTGGTGTCCGAATTCGCTCAGATATTCCAGAATAGAGTTTCGAGAGAGGGATCTTTTTTTCTCATGTTTACGAGTTGATCACGGACTGATATCAGTTAGAGAACCACAGTTTTTATACAGATAGCCCCTTTATGAAATCATGACTTTAGGTAAGTGGTTCGATGATACGTCGTGTGTTTGGAATTAGTTGTGTTCTCTGAGCTGGTTGCTTGTTTAATTGCAAAGCTTTCGTCGTCCTTCTGAATAACATCCACTCTCAGTGCAAGTTTTAGCATAAAGTGAACTGATTTGAATTCCTCCTCCATGAATGATGATAGAATTGTGTCTCCTAGCAACCATCTTCGTGACTGGTAGTCAATTTACATCTGTATTGATCTTTTTTTTCATTGACTTGGATTTTGAACTTTCTTGTCATGTCACGTGATTTACGTTTTATTAACTGACCAATTTGGTCTATAGTAATGTCTGTGTTTGTTAATCGATGGTTGATTCACTTGAGTACCAGGCTTCTAGGGATTCTCTGGAAGTATTTTCAGTGTTTCCTCTACTTAAAATTTTGACATTATCCCAATCACTAAATTAGTGTCCATAATTATCCTCATACATTGATACGAATATATATATATATATATATATATATATATATATATAATGCCTTTTTACAGCCAATTTGTGCTTTTGGATTCTGATTCGAAAAGGACGTCCACTTTGATGGATGTAATGTCTGCCGTACAAATTATTTTGTGAATGGTAGTAAATTTATCTTCTTTTCCTGTTGGATGGGTCTTTTGGTTAGCACAATAGGACGAAACAGCTGTCCAGTACTCCCAGGTTTTCGAATGGTTCTCTAACCGATGTTAGCTCATGATGAAATCCTTCAGCCAATCGAATGAAGTGATTGTGCTGGCTGTCTGGCTGGTTGGCTTGTGTGTTATATCTACTTCAAACGGTATTAATATTCCAGCTGTCATTTCACAGATGAATTCTCTTGTAGTCTTTGATGATGGTTTCTTGTTGGTGTTGTGACTCGAGTTTAAACACTTTTTGGTGAAACTATTTGTTGGTATCCATTCTTTTTGAAGACGGTTAGTAGGTATCTTTCTTCCATTCTCTTCAACACTGGCGTAGTGCTACAGTGTGTTCAAACTCTCTTTTAAACAATGTCTGCACAGAGTTTCTTTTGTGGGTAATTGGGTTGGCTTTATTACTGTTATAGTTGAGTATTTGATCAGCGTGTGTGTTTGTGTGTGCGTTGATTTTCTATGTACTTGTGTTTCTAAATTTCCTTGTGTTAGTTCTGTTGATTAAGACAAACATCTAAGAATGGAATTTTGTTGTTGTCTAATTCATCTTCTTCTCCCATGGTGAATTTAATGTCTTCACATATGTTGTTTATTGATTTGTGGGTATATTCAAAATCACATTTCTTTTAATTGTTACAAATGTATCATGAATGTAACGTACCTGTCCAGAGTTTTAGTTTAATTGTAGGTAGGTAGGGCTATTAAGTGAGATCTTTGCATAACGGCTTCAGTTATTAATCCTGATATGCGTGATGACCCTATTGGTGGTCGTTCTATTTGTTCGTTGTGTATTTGATCATTGAATTGGAAGTATGTTGTAAGCCATAAAACGTACATCTGGATAGCAAGTGCTGACTTCTCTGCCTCATATATTGTTATCATAGAGAGCTAGTATTCAAGTTATATATATATATATATATATATATATATATATATATATAAATCTGGCCGTGAAACTTTCATTATCACAAATACACAAAGCTAAACAGGACACCAAGCAATTTTTCAATGAAAAATATTCATTGTTATTATTGTCATTATTTTTCCCTGAAATATGCACAAAGTTTAGCAATATAAGAAATCATGGATTGACCTCTGTCTTTTATGTCTTCTTGACACTTTAGTTATCGTATGTATCGAAAGAATCAAGCTACTAATTTCCCTTCACTCATAACAATATTCAGTGCTCCCAATTATCTAGATGTTTACAATAATAAAGGTGAGTTGTTCATTGAAGTTGCGCTTTTATTTTGTTCGTTTGGGAAGTTTTGATGTTGTTTTTTAAATGCAGTGCAAAGCAGCAACATATTCAAAAAACAGTTGGTGTTGTTGTTGTTGTTATCATTGTTATGGTACCTTGTGAAGTAAATTAGAAACGCCATTTACTACTGGCGTCTTCGGAAAATGTGTGTGTGTGTGTGTCAACTTTCACTTTTAATATCCGAGTATTATTCAACCGTTTCGTCCGTCTTTCTGAATGCCTATTGAAAATTACAGTTCATTCATATATATCTGTCAAATTCAGAACTGGATAAGCAGGACACATCTTCATCAATCTAAAATCAGCATAAAGAACATAATTCGAATTTTCAACATCAGTTCTTTTACTAACAGTTGTCCCCATTGCTGATGGCTCCATACTGAGGGTTAGATGACCTGTTGTGAGGGATCAGAAACAAGAAACTCTGGGCTGGGGGGGGGGAACACGAACACGAGATGGTTGTCGCCGAGAGTAACCTAAATGAATAGAGAAAGTGAGTTGGTTGGGTGTGGGAGTCCGAGGGTGGAAAGGAAAGTTTGTGAGGAAGAGAGTACTGTAGAGAACGGGACCTTCTTGAGTCAAGCTTCTCTAGCTGGTTGTATTCATCTCACTGTGTTAGGAATAAGGTCTAGAGCAAGAACTTCCTTTTTCACCTTTGTCAATCATTTCATCACGTTAATATTATTGACTATACATGATGGTGGATGGAAACTGTCCAACTGATCGATAGATGAACATGTTGTGTAAGTCGTCGTTCTAATGCAAGGTCCGATGTTTGATACTTTGGTAATTATATGTATAAGGTAACTTCAGGCAGCCGATGGCACAGCGGTTAGGACTCTCGTCAACCATGCACATAGTCTGGGGTTCGATTCCCTGCGACGGACACCTGATATCAATCGTTGGCCTGTGAAATTTTGGCTATCCATATCACATGCTGAAAATTCCATAGTTGTCTCACAATACGATATGGAATCAAGCTACAAACAAAATAGACAAAAATGAAAAAAACTATTACTGCATATTGTTTTGTATTTTCGATATAAAACATTCTTGAACTATGTCATTTCTTGAAGTAATTTGGTTGATGGTGACTAGCAGTGGAGTCCAGGGCATATGCATTTCGTCCTATTTGGGACTCATCAGCTAAAGGATGTACACCCGCATTCCCTAGTGAGTGAGTGATTGTTTTCCGACATTGATGCTCGAACCCAGTAACCATCCTGGATTTCAATGCTATTCAGTCAGGCAGTCACCATTCACCAAAATTACTGTCAAAGTATCCGTGCTAGGTAGAGGATCCGAAATGTTGTCTACAGAGGCCGAACATATCGGTCCAATCAATCAATGGGAAATCCAAATGGTGAATTAATCTCTTTTCATTACATAGGTAACTCAGACACACACACACACACGGAACACTGTCTATCCCATTATTATTACTTACTGATACACAAATGATATACGTACGCTTACACTTTGTTCGCTTGTGAATTAATCAATTCCTTTTTAGCTGCTATTCTTAAGTATGAAAACAATACAATGAATATAAGACAATTTAATTGTTCTCCTCATCCTTATTGGCTTCCAAATTTCATGGATGTATTCACCTGGTCTTTACCTTTTGTCGGAGAGAAAGGTGAGTAGTTTTCTATTCACACATATCTATCTATCTATTTGTCTGTCTGTCTGTCTATCTCTCTCCCTCCCTCCTCCCTCCCTCCCTTCTTTTTCTTTTTCTCATCCGATGAAATTATGTGCATGTTAATTTTGTTAATTGACTTTATAATAAATCGTAGACAAATTCATTAACTCTATTGCTTTCATTAATCAACAGATATATAGTATTTTTTTTTTAAATTTAATAATTAAAAAAAATAGAACAGAGGTAGGTATGTAGAAGGGAGAAAGAGTGTGTGTGTGCGCGCAGGTCGGGTTAAACCACTACTGGTCTACCTCAATTTGTTCTGTCCATCAAAAGTCCATCCATCACATTCTCCTCCAATTTTACCACACCACAGTGAATGTGTTGCTGCAATCTATACAGGTAGGTTGACAACTAACTTTGAAATAAGTTCAGAAGTAGTACCACTATATAATAGGGTGGAGGAAGAACATTGTGAAGTAGTAGTACTGGAGTGTATGCTTCAGTGTTGGATGGAACAAATGACGTCAGCACATGATGATATATTATCGATTATTATCATTATTATTATATTATTTGAATATTCTACACAAAGAGTGTAAATACCTTGCAATGGAACACGTTGACACATTGCTCAGAAGAAGGCTATTAATAATAATAATAATAATCTTAAATATGTATAGTAAGGTAAGGACCTTACTGCACTGAAACTAGTTTACGAAGAGTTATTCCGATGTTCTCCAACTCTGTCTGTCTTCTTGGTGTTAGATGATTGGAGGCAATGGGCCACAGGAAGCCTTGGATCTAGACCGAGGTTTCGTGCTACTTGGCACTCACTCACTCACTCACATCAGTCAGCAAGGCCTATCTGCAATCACGTCGAACGAAACAGCTCATGCCCCTTCTGAGATTCGAAGTCGCGTCACCCACCCAGTGAGTACTGCAGTGTGCAGTGTGTCAGAGACGTTACCAGCACTGAGCAGCTATTTGGGTTCGCGATTAACTTCCTGTAGGACTGAGTGTTTTGGATACTTTAATAGTCAGTAACTAGTGTCTATCTGTCTTCATTTCTCTTACTGACAATTTTATCCACTATTCCAGATAAAATTGTAGAAGACGTTACACACAATGTTAACAACTACTGCAGACATTTTTGTCAGTAGCGCACACGCTATAAGTGTGTGCGTGTGTGTATGGTTGAACTCTGCTCTATACAAGTAACTGTATATGAAGGATTGTCAATACTCTTCTTTCTTTCTTTTTTTCTGTTATCATTCATATATATATATATATATATATATACCATTTATCGGTTTTACTGGTGACCAACCAGTCGTAGTGTCAAAGGTGTGGTGGTGATTTTTTTTACCCTAGTGAACATAAACCAAGAAAATGGAGTTTTACTTTCATCGCTATATATTGTCCCTTTCAATTTTCGGTTGATAAACTCTGCAGTCTAGCCTACCTATATATCTGATTTGCATAAGGTTATATTTTAACAGTGAAATGTCTTGTCCAGTGTGTTGGTTTATAGAGATTTGGTTGGGTTGCTTACAGAATTGGCCACGAGTTGACATCAGTTAGAGAACCATTGGGAGACTACTGAGGAGGAGGAGTATTGGATGACAGTCCTGTCACATCCTAGCTTGTATCTGATCGGCAGTTCGAACGCATGACCTTCCGATTACAAGGCGAGCTCGTAGACCATTCAGTCACTGTGTGTTTATTGTATTGATTTTTGTCACTGAAAAGAAGCTTATCAGGCTACATTTGTTGGTGTTCACCAGTTTGGTTGATGTGTTCTCCGACCCCCCTACATACACACACGCACACACTCACCCACCCACTTTTGCTTTTAAGTGACGAGGCGTTCAGCGAAGAGTTAGTGTGACTCCTTTTCATTGATATCGTTCTCATTGCTGTACCATCGTATGCATTTATTTCTTTACTCGGTTTTGGCGGATTTCACGTTGTACATGTTAGGCTACATGAGCTATAAAAAAGCAGTTGTTGTCTAAAAAATCAAGTGTACGATGATGATTACAGTTAAAACGGCGAAGATTAAGTGAAGTGGAGTGAATTCAAGTGGTAAAATATGATAAAATAAAAGAACATAACTGTGACCAAGGTAAAGAAAGATGTTTAACAAGACGTTTTTGAACACATAATACATGTTTCTGTCCAGGTATAGCTGGAGCTTCAGCTATGCATAAGTGGAGAAATAGAAAGATTTTGGAGTGGTTGGATTTGGTCCAGTAAATGACTTTAAAGAGTAAATCACGTGTGGGGTGCTGAATGACCTGACTGCAGAAGGTGTTCGCAGATTGAAGATTTTGTCGTCCTATCCTTGCCTTTCATTAATCAAACTGGGTGGGAGTGTTCAGCTACGCGTTTCCAGAGAACACGCTTACAATGTCCAATGTAATCGTCTCCACACAAGCATGCGAATGAGTGTATATACACATAGAGGTGGACATAAGCGGTAGTTTATCCTTGACACATTGTCTAATCATATTTCGGTTGGTAAATACTAATTGTAAGTCAGCTGCATAAAAAGAAAGTTTAATACATTGAGATAAACGACTTTTAATTACTCCAACAACGTTGACACCTTTGAAATCCAAACTCATAAACAATGTCTTCTTTGGCACTGTGATTTGGCTAAAGACGGTTTCTTTCTTGATGTTCCTGTTAATAAACCTTCTAGGATATCATTATTTAAGAGAGTTGTGTGAAGGTTTCGTAGTTTTTTTAGACAACACTTGACCTACGACTTAAAAAAAACCTATGTACCAGTTCACTTATTTAATAATCTTTAAAGGCTTTGTAATTCATCCACTTCAACTCTACCGCGAGCCCCTTAGTACATCATTTTAATTATCTTTATTCTTATCATCATCTGTACAAGATTGACCACTGAGCGATTTCTAGTGCCACTTATAAACGCCTGCTATTTTCCGTAATGTAAATACGACTCCTGTACAGCTGACTAAAAATGAAGTCGTTGAAAGGAAACTGCATTTCTTCGCTGAACAAAACCAGAACTGTTTTTTCTTACAAATTAGTGGGTATATATTTCGTGATCTACAAAAACAGGACAAAAAAACCTTTAAAGTATTGGTTTGTAGGGATTTTCTTTGATTGGTTGGCAGATTTCATCATGAGCACTGACATCGGTTGGTTGGAGAGAACCACTGGAAAACCTGCAGCGAGTACTGCCAGACAGCTGTTTCGTCAGGCTAGTTTGGGACTCTTTGGCAGGATTTTCTGCTTTATTTTTCTGTAAAACACGTGATCTTTCACTCAGTCATAGATACCACACACACACACACACAGTTATACACAGAAATTGTCTATCACATCATGTTTGTTACACTTGTATAATATTATGAATTTTGAAAAATGTACTACGCTAAGCCAAGCTAATTTAACTGTTGCTTTTCGAGAATTCTCTTAGAAAATACGTTAGTTAGCCTTGTAAGAATATTATTTAATTGATGACTTGGTATTTACTTTGAGAAATGCACACACACACACTCACGTGCGGTTTATAGATTATTTGTCTACCATCATTTGATACTATTCAGAGGATCAAATTTTATCACATTGCAGTGAATGTCGGATATAAGTGATTCATTAACATTTGTATATCTGAGTGTGTGTGTGTGTGTGTGTGGTATACAATCATCAGGTGAGAGAGTCATTCATCACACCACATCGTAGACATACTTTTCTTTTGTGCTATTTTGTTGTTCAGTGTAAGTGTATCGGCTTATTTTAAAGTAATTAAAGAGCAGATTTTTAGAGTTCAGATAGATGATTTTGATCTCTTTTTTTCTCCTTGGTTGTGTGTTGTTTTCTGAGCTAAGCTGATTGATTTAGATTGCGAAGCTCTTATTGGCTCTCCATCTAGACAACATCTTCACATCAAAAGCTTTAATATCCAATTGAACTTTCTTTTCAATTGTTTCTACATGATTGATGATTTCTTTGTATGTTCTGTGTTAAACATTGTCATGATTCGTTGTTCATTTGGAATACACTCAAAAATCAATCAATAACATGTTTGAACACATTCAATTCACAAGAGAAGAAAAATCAAACAACAGAATTTCTTTTACCAGATGTCTTATTCAAGAGAACCAACGGAGGAAATTTGGAAGCACTAGTATACTGGAAAATCAACACACACACACACACAATAAACATATAAATCAAATACTTAACCATAACATCAACAATCCAGTTACTCACTTAAAAGAAGCTGTATGGAAAAGAGTTCTAACACACTGTAGCACTCTGGTGATGAAGAGAATACACCAGAAACACCTACTCATTCACTGTCTTCAAGAAGAATGAATACCCATACAAATGCACCAAAAGGAAATTTTCAAACTCGAATCGAAATACCTAGAAGAAACCATCCTCAAAAACCATAACCATAACGGCTAGAATACTGAAACAACAATTCGAAATAGACACAGCACACAAGTCAAGATATAAAAGACGAACACCATCTCTACAAAATAGATCACATAGACTGTGGTAAACACCCCACATTGGTCAAGGTGAGCGTCCCCTTCAACATAAATTGACTGTGAAAAGACACGATATGAATTCGTACACATGGGTGCATGTGGACAATCACGGACACCAATTTCATCGGTTGGAGAATGTTGAAACAGGGGAAACACCAAAAGTAATGACAGAGAATTTCTACAAGCCTGGTTGGTGGTATTCAGATGAATAATCAATCAGCCAGCAATTAACAAACAAACACACACACACACATTGCAATAGATCCAAGTCAACAGAAACACGATCAGTAGAGATGTAAATTGACAAGCAATCAATCACAACAATAGTTTGATTGGACAGCAGTTACTGACTAGTGTCCAATCAAAGTATCCAAAACACTCAGTCCTACAGGAAGTTAATCGCGAACCCAAATAGCTGCTCAGTGCTGGTAACGTCTCTGACACACTGCACACGCAGTACTCACTGGGTGGGTGACGCGACTTCGAATCTCAGAAGGGACATGAGCTGTTCCTTCGACGTGATTGCAGATACGCCTTGCTGACTGATGGTGAGTGAGTGAGTGAGTGACAAGTAGCACGAAACCTCGGTCTAGATCCAAGGCTTCCTATGACCGATTGCCTCCAACCATCTCATATAATCACAACAATGGATGTCAGACGAGATACAATTTCACATCATCATTCATGGAGTTCAAAGAGTTCAGAGAAGTTCATCAGTTTACATTAAAGCTTGGATTGTGAAGTGATTTTGTTTAGAAGGCAAATGAAAGGCTTGCAGTGAAATCGATCAGTGCTGAGGGAACACAACCAAGAAAAAGAAATCAAAATTAAGAGATTATTGCTATGTGTGCTTAGGAATATTTATGTTATGAGATCTATTGATTTTTATAAATATCCTATTTTTTTCATACTTTTTCCAGTTACGGAGATGCTTATGAATGTACTAAGTATTTGCTCAGATGATGAATTAATGAAGGAAGGTGATGACACTTTTGAAGGTACGTTTCCTTAACCGGGAATAACTCTCCTGTTTTGTATTATTTAATATCTGATGTAAAGCTGTTAATGTTTATATTTGTTTCTTAAGGTGTGTTTTCTACCTTGGCAACGAATGTTCCTATTATTCGTTTAAATGTTAGGTTATCGGAACACTGGAGTTTTTCTGATAGATCTCGAATGATGATCTTTTTTGTTAAGTAATCTGGAGAAAAGTTTAGCTATCAGAATGCGTCGGTGGCACAGCGGTAGAATGCTCCCCGCCAACCACGCTGCCATGTGGTTTGGGGTTCGATCCCCCACCGGTCGCCGACGCACTCCTTCACATCGTTAAGCCAGTAAAAGGACTGGTAAAGAGGGAAGGTTGGGCATGAGGCTAGCTAGCAACCGCATCCCGTAAAAATAAACTAGCACCACTGCTACCGAAACTTCAAAGCTGTAGCTTGAAGCCCTGTGTTCCACGTAAAGTAATAAAATAAATTTTAAAAAAAACAAAATAAATATAATTATTACTTCTTATTCTTTCCCTCCACCCTATCTTATTGGACTTAAACTGTCATCTTTTCGCATCCTATTTCATGGTTGAGTGCCATTTCATGTCATGCTATATATAGCTGATCTATTATTCTCCAGATTTCACGTCTTACTTATTAGGGTAAACTAGTCTAGATTGCTTCAATCTAGCTGATTCCAGCCTACTACAGTCACCTAATACACAAGTATTTCATCTAATAATCATGGTAGGATGTATTAGGTAAACTAAATTATTTTGTTCCACTGACACACTACAGGATCTTTCATTTAACCGATACAATTAAGTTCAAATAGTTAGTTATTCAGAGAGCAATAGGACTGAGGGAAGAAATATGCACTTTTCGATTAGATCCTCATCTCACTCGCGCTCTACTAAACTATACACCTACAGCATTCTTAATACAATAAACAAACATTTACTAATCAACAAAGCACAGGGAACGAATACGAGCTGACACAATAACGCATTTACAAATACTAAATCGTGCGGATAAGCGGCATATCCACATCTACCTCAATAACTAACGCACGCATGAAAAACAGAGACACGAAAACGTTAACTTTGTGGATTGGATGAGACGACTTCAAAACACTCAAGTATGCAAACAAACTATTTATTTCAAAAAAGTAATAACACCATTTTACATGGAACAAGTGAGTAAGCGTTGTTCCCGACTAATTGAATCAGTCGTTTCTATGTGAATGAATTGATTAGGGAAATATCACATGAGATTCACCTACCTCCAAATAATCATTATTGATGCAAGTATGTTTATGATAATCTCCAACCAGTCAAGAATATTTTCGACGCACGATAAGCATAACCAGAGCAAAATAATTAGAAATCGCCCATAGATTAACATAAGCCACTCCTTCGACATCTTTGCACAAAATGATTTTATTCTAAACTGCTAACCTACTTATAATTATTTTTTTAATGATTACAACTCAGATGACATGGTCAGATTAAATTATCCAATAGCGAACTGGGAAATATCTTAGTGATCACAGCTCACATTAAATATAAAAATTGTGTATTTTGAATAGGTTAATTGTGCCTTGTATAAAATCATAACATATAAATGTGACTTGATTTTATCTGATTGTAATATTAAAAAATATAATAACATTAGAATAAATCATTTTAATTTATGGCGATTCTAATTTTTTGCTCTGGTATGCTTATCGTCGAAAATATTCTGATGGTTATTAAATGCAAACAACTTATGAATTTGAATTATTTTGATACTTGATGTTTGAATCGTCTCATATTATCGAGTATTGTTAAATATTAAATGTTTATTGATTTGTATACAAGGCACAATTAAACCTATTCAAAATACACACCAGTTATAAAATCAACAGTTCGGATGACTCATACTTTTCTTACGAGTCATCTCCACAATTTCGTAATCATCAACTACCTCGCTAAATTCTACTCACAAAATAATGAATCGATTATTCAGCTTAAATTTATTTTGGTGAAGTTACACTGATAGCTATTTCATACATTTCATGATTGCATCAGGTTGTATCCAGCTACCTAAAACAATGTGCTTACAATTGACGTAAAGCTTCGGTCAGTGGGTCACCTAATTTCCTCCTATTCATCAGAACACGTCTGACTTGATGTACTTGATGTTTTCTTGACTGTCGAATTATGTGGTTGCGTCGTTATCTGTACTGACTTGGATTTCTAAATATTTATCACATATTTCCGTGGATTTTGTAGGAAACATGAAGAGGGATAATGCTGTTTATTAGAGTGTGATTTGGAATGCGTGATATTGCACTGAGTTAGAGCATGGTCGGTCGGTCGGTTTTCGACATAGAACTTTGCACATATGTGCGGCAATTCAAGTCGCCACACTCCATGTAGCACACAATGCAAGAGAAGAAAGTAGAAGAAATGCATAATATAGTCAGTAAACAGAGGTGTGAGACAAAGGAATAGTAATAACGGAGAACAAAACATTTTAATTGGAAATCATAAGTCACAAGGAGTGGATGCATCTGCGCCAAGAGCATGGTAACCCAAGAGAATGCTCTCACATTCTCTCCACCATTCACATGATGGTGACAAATTCACGTGAGAGAAGAGAACTGGAGTTATGTATTATTGTGCGTCGGTGGCACAGTGGTTAGGACTCTCGCCCACCATGCACATGGTTCGAGGTTCGATCCCCTGCCGACGCATACCCGATATCTATGGTCGGCCTGCAAAATTTGGGCTACCGGTATCCATGCTGAAAATTCCATACTTGTACTGAAAATACTGTGTGGCATCAAGCTGTAACCAAGATAAAAACAAAATTAAAAAAATAATAATGAATTTTGTTCAGGGTTGAGAAGAGAATTTGTGTCCAGAAAGCGTGTTTAACAAAACATTATTCAACAATCCCCAACAGTTAGTATGAAATAACCAAAATCCCTAACAGTTACTATGAAATAACTGAAATTGACCATAACTGAAACCTGAAACTTTACTAAGACTAAGTTTCGCTCAACATCTCATCAGAAGTGTAGCCTGTGAGATTCAGCTGAGACAAAAAAGGAAAAACAGATAAAGACCACCTGTATTCTCTCTCTCCCTATCTCTGACTAGATACCTCGACAGATCACCATGTAGCACCGAGAATCGAATTGGGAAATGGCACGTTGCCCAGTTTGAAGGAAAAATACATCACTACTTCCTCTGAAAACTAAAACCATAGAGATCACATTGTGTTTGATCACTGCCTGTTCCACCACTGCGTCGGTGGATCAGTGGCAGAATGCTCGCCAACCACGCCCAATGTGGTTCGCCAGCCGGCCATGGACGCACTCCTTTACCTCACTAAGCCATTAATAAGACTGGTAAAGAGGGATGGTTGGGCATGTGTCTAAGAACCCCATCCCGTAAAAATAAACTAGCACCACTGCTTCCGAAACTTCAAAGCTGTAGCTTGAAGGCGCCCTATGTGTTCCACTGGGAACGTAAAGAAAAAGAAAAATGAATCGGAATCCATTTGCATGTAATCCCATGAATAGGAGGAAGAGACAAGGTTGATCAAACATTGAACAGATGGAAATGGTGCAACATTTTCCCCGGATTTATGGAAACTTGCATTCAGGAAGACGAAGGGGGTTAACAACGACATGAAACAATTTAGAAAGCTATGTAAAAATATACTGTGATATGATTTTGAGTAATAAACTTTGCTGGAAACATCATCATCCAGTTATTTTTAATATCAATCTATGTAGTATGTGAGCTTACAATATTCTCTGTACTCCATATCAAGTGGACTACCATATTTCTGTTGATCAGAATCAATTTGAAATATTTGAATTTTGGTTAGTTCTATTCACGACTTCAAGTGATGAAGATGAACAACCAACAACAACAAGGATCAATCATTGTTAATGGATGGAATTTGAAAGAGGTCACTTCCTTCACTCACTCACTTATCTAGGCACCATCGTTCTAACTACTATAGGCATATGTCACGGATGAGCATGTGAAAGGCACAAGGCAGACATTCATCAATCTTAAATCACTTTGGAAGTTTTCTGAACTCAGCACAAAATTCAGATTTTTTCAATGCCAATCTTAATTAAGTCAGTCAGTTAGTGTGAGTCAGAGACTTTGTGAGTGTGTCACGAAAAGCATTTCAAACTCTGGCTACTGAAAACTGTTATCAACATGTGTCCCCTTCGTTGGCTCCGTATTGAGGATCAAATGGTCGGTGGAAAGAATTAGCAACAAGAAACTCTGGCTGCGATGAACAAACCAACGAAGAGCCGATTGCTCAACAAACATGCCGAAGAAAGTGGGGATGGATGGCGGACATACACTGAGGAAGACTGCTGGGTGACATTGCTCACCATGCCATCGCTCAAGTGGAACCCGATTGAGAGACGACGAGTAGTTGGGCGTGAGTCCGATGGTGACATGAAGGAGATCGTGTGAAGATGAAATGGAGATGTGTTGTTGAAGCTCTACATGTTCCACGCGGAAACCAAAGGATTAATAATGATAGTAACAAATAGCAGTTGTTTCCGGTTGGAAATAATTTTCCCTACCTAACTCTACTGTATTTTGTTCTGTTCCATTCTATGGTGTGTGTGTGTGTGTGTACCGTTCCCATGAAATGCATTAATGGTGTGTAATTCTCTTTCACATCAATAGGTGGAACTGTTGCTGCTCGTAAAGAAGTTATTCGTAATAAGATACGTGCTATCGGTAAAATGGCCCGAACGTTTACAGTGTTAAGGTGAGTGATTTTCAGGTATTCCTTCTTCTTCTTCTTTGTTGTTATTGTTGTTGTCAAGATTTATAAGCAGTTTTTGAATTTCATCTCTAACGTCAGAAGACCAACAAATACCACTGGGAACGGACTATACATATTAGGAAATAGCGCATCATACCTTATACATTAAAAGTTGGTTTTTTGCCAGCGAACAATAACAAACTATTCTGATTGGTTATGTGGTAGTTGGACCAAAGTTGTCCAATGAGATCATATTTCCTAACAAGATAACCTTAACTAAATCGAGAAATTTTAAGGAATAAACTGACTTCTACCTCACTGTAGTCATTATTGACTTGAAATGATGTTGACTTCAATTTTTTGGCCTCTTTCAGTTTGTTTGTCGATTGTCCTCTCCTTAGCTCCGTTATTCAAAGTGTTAAAGTGTCAGGGTCGATTGTTGGTAATTGATAATATACGCCGTATTCCGTTTATACTACCAGTTAGCATTATTAATATTCTCATTTAGTGTCTAGTTTTATGAGTGTTAATGTGTGCGTGAATATCTATTTCACTGAATGAAGACGTTGTTCAGGTTTCCATGCAAAATAGACATAGTGTAACAGCAGAATGGCAAGACACAGAAAGCAAACGTATATTTTCAAGTGATCAAACCGCTATTTAAATATACGCAGTTTTATATTCTCTAACTAATCATGGAGTGTGTGATTTTGGTTTACATTAAACGACATGAAATAGAATGTTCATATATATATATATATATATGTCGTATTCTGTCGCGCTAATGCAGCGTTGAACTGTGGGAACAGTATATGTGAGAATCATATTCCGTTGGAACACGTTGTCAGTATCGCACCACCACATTAGTACTTCATACATTTTGATATGATTGTTTTCTTTTTGTTACTGAATTGTGTTCACAGAATGTGTTAGACTTTCTCTTCATGATAAAGATGATCCTAATGTCTCCTTAAATCTCCTGTCAAATGTAAGATGATGCCACCAGACTGGACTACATCGACTACTCCTAGCTTTAAGATAGTGTGTCGACTACTTCACTTATTTAGGACGTTGTATTCAGCCCCAACGGACGTCGAGTGTTAGGTAAGGAGGGGACTTGTGAGGCGATCACAGTGTCAGCAGATCCATTCCGTCCTACGTAGGATTCTCAATAAGGCAGGAATTTTAAACGTACAAACTCACTCACATGGGGCAAGCTCTGTAGGCTACAGCACCCTGTAAGTTAACCCATTTAAACAAAATAATATAATTTACAAAATACCTTGCAGTGACTGTGAGTTAGTCCAACTGCATAGGTCAAACAGACCAGTAGATCGGGGTAGTCAGAACATGAAAATGTAGCTAAGGTTAGAATGATTGATTCCACTAAAATAAGTAATTTAGAAAAAAACTCAGCAACCTCACTGCGTGCATTAACAAACAGCCGTACAATGGAGTGGATGGGACGGGAACTGATGAGAATATCAAAGTGGGGATCGGGAAAGCAAGGCAAGCTTTCATTACTCTCAAGTCTGTGTGGAGATCAGCAGCACTCAGCATGAAAAATAAGTTCCAGATTTTCAACTCCATCGTGGAGTCAGTGCTACTTTACTGATCAGATACTTGGCGCATCACGAAGGGCACTCTGAACAAACTACAGACTTTCATTAACATTTGTCTTCGCTCAATACTTTGCTCAAGATCAGATGGCCGACCAGAAAACATCAGCAACAGGGATCTCTGGCAAGGAAACAACGAACCGAAACAACCCAGAAGGAACCAATTCTGCACCAAAATATGCCGGGAGAAATGGAGGTGGATTGGATTGTAGCCATACTATGAGAAAACAAACCATCAAGTGAGTGACATCATACACCGGGCTGTCTCTGTCTCTCGAATGGAACCCGAGTGGGAGGGATTCGGCGAGTTAGTCGGTCGTCAGTGAGTGAGGGTGACATGGTGGAGGAGGAGGTGGTGGTGAGAAAAGGAGATGAAAGCATGTGGGCAGACTTGTAGGTAGGTGAGAAAACGTTGGTAGGGAACCGAACGCGATGGAGACATGCGGATGAATCCCTGTGTTCCTCTAGGAAATTAAGGAGATAGTAATACTAATAATAATGATATATAATGATTATTATTGTTCCCTGAGGTTCCGAGCGGAAAATGGGGTTTTAGCAGTGCATCTCCGTTTCACTCTGTTTTCTGCAGTTGCCCTCAACTGGCTTCACGGTCGCTTATTACCTTCCTCACACGATCTGCTCCATGTCACTTTTCGGATCCGCACCCAACTCGTCTTGGGGTTACACTCGAACGATGGTGTGGGATGTGATGTCACCCAATTGTTCTCTTGCTATTGCTGTGTAAATATGGTCTTATATATATGTATACTAGTAATGTTATTTTAATAAATTTTCCTTGTTTATTTTTAGAGAGGAAAGTGAATCTGTGTTTGAATTAAAAGGATTGACTCCAAATGGAATGCTTCCATTAGGTGCTTTGTCAGGAGGGAAAGAATCATTAAACAAAGGTAGTCATATTCGCTTAATATTTATATCATGGTATCTTTGAAGTATGGTAGAAGTTAAAATATTTATTACTTTATATTAGTCGTACTTTAAAAAAAATTATTTTGCTTACAGTTGACTGTTAATTTTTCTTCCGTTCTCAAACCATTTAGCATTATCTGGTGTTTCACCGAGAAATAAAATCATCTCTTTTGAACAAGCCAAAGCGTATGATCAAATCAATGAACGCATGCCACCAAGGCGTGACAGTAATGTGGCTACTACTGTTCCCGGTAGTACACGACCTTATGGTTCTGCTTCTCGTCAGGTTGAGAGGAAATCAACTCCAAACCCGTTGAATAATGTCACCACTAATACTGCTGATTCTATCCAAGCGTCCAGTCACCGACGTCAAAGTGCGAAGAGTAGTACAAGTCGATCGACAGTGGATCAAAGTGATACTACTACAAACCGTTCTAGTAGTGATCTCCGATCATCTAGTAATGGTGTAACAGCTGTTGGCAATGTCCGGTTACCACCAAACTCTGGAGAACCAGCCCCAACCCCTGTAACAAAGCCTTCTGACTCCGCGCTTAATTCATTCCCATCATCGATTACATCTGTTAACCGAGGCTCTGGTGAGTCGAATCCTGGCAATTCTCGAATACCTGTTACTAACTCTGATAATTCCACTAAGAAGTAGCAGCAGCAGCAGTAGTAGTTGTTGTAGTAGTGTGGTAGCTTTGCTTCCAATGTCAAGTTGTTAGATTTCAAAATGAATGCAGAGTTTACTTTGTTGACCTACTGATTGAAAAAAATTGAAATTCTTTAACACGAAATTTATGCTGCATGAATGAATCTTTCATCGAGAGGATTTTAATAAATTCCTGCTGTGTTTGCCTTTTTTTATTTTATTTTTAGCTTTTTAACCTGTACTGTCATCATCAGTGTGTGTATTTCTTCTTTTACACAACAAGTGTGTTTAACACCATTTTGATTTAAATTGTCAGATTTAATTGTCAACATCACTCACTTTTTACAGCTGTCTTTCTTCTTCTTCTTCTTCTACTTCTGCGTCGTCGCCGTATCTACTTCTACTTCTTCTTCTTCTTGTTCACGATCTAAATACCTGCAGGGTTCAGGAAAAGAGATTTTAATAATAATTATATTCTTCAGCTGTTTATAATGAAATAAATACTCAAAAGATTGATTCTACTCTCCGTGTGTGTGCGTGTGCGTGTCTGCTTCGTTATTTCTGTGTTTGCGTACACATATTCATTCATTCATTCATTCAATTCAGTTATTCAATGAACCACCGTAACGATGACTATCTGAAAGTGACAGGGAACTAAAAATTGCCTAATAAATTTTAATGCAGTGTGTGTGTGTTTGTTCAACTTTTACATGTGTATGCGCGCTTGTATTATCATTGTAATTCTGTATAAAGAAGAGAACCAAAAATTATAAACAAGTTATCGAATTTTGCTACTGATTTTGCTCACTCATTCACATGCATTGCATTACTCTATCTTATCTTATGAGTACTTGTTATGTTCCACGCACACACACACACATGCACACAAAGGAAGCTATGAATTATAGTCAGAGTTACTCCATGATTTCTTTGTTTCTACACGCCTTTTTTCCTCGTTTATGTATGTGTAAGATGTGTGTGTGTGTGCGTGCGTGTGCGTGTGTTTATGTTTAACGATTAATGAAAGTAAATATTTTCAAGATTCTTCTATCGCCTTCCTTTGTTCTTCCCCTCCTCCCTCCATTACACGCTATACAAAACTACTCAATTATCTCTTATTTCACATTATTGAAGGTAGTCGGGAAGAAATATTAAGCCGATAAGTAATGTGTTTGCGTTTGTGTGCTTGTGTGTGTGTGTGCGCGCGCCCGCACGCTCTCGGGTATTCCAGTCTTCTTTTCCAGTACAGCCTCTGTTTTGTTTCCTTTCTTATTCCACACCACCATCTCCACAAATTCATCTTTATATATTTCTGTTCTTTGTGTTAATTTCTGAAGAATACGCGCATCCTTTATTAATTTAAGTGGGTTGGAAGAATGAGATAAGATGTCTTCACTTGTTTGTTTGTTTTTTTGCCTAATTCTTGTTGAGAACTGTAGACTTTCTTTCTTTACTTTCTTTTTCATACACGGCATGAGTACGTACATCATCTAAAAATGTATGCGGGTGTATAATCACGTTTATACAATAATGATAATAATAATAATCATTATAATAATAGCGGTAAAAAAGCTGCGACAACGAAGCACACCAAGAACTGTTCACTGGAAATATCACCTTTTTGTTTCCTCCCAGTTCTGCGTTTTGCATGCATAAATGTGTCATCAGTGTAAATGCTGGTTACTTCTCTCTCTCTCTCTGTCTCTCCAGATTGATTTCTTTCAGTGCATCAATTAGTTCGTCTGTACACCACCCTGTTTCTCTTTCTCCCTCTGTTGATGACATATATATATACACATACATGTATGTATCGTGAAGATTTATCCTACACCCCGGTTGTATTTTTTCTTTGAAACAAACAATCTGTCCTAATTTTCTTTCAGTTCCCTTGTTACTATACCTAAATTTACGATTACTATCATTATTGTTATTATTTGTAAAGAACATTGTGAATGTGGTGATGAGATGAACACGGATATTTTTGACGGCCTCTGTGAGTGAGTGAGTGTGTGTGTGTGTAAAATGTTTCCTCGCTTTTCCTCTATTTTTCTGTTGCTTATTGTGTGTGTTACTCCCTTCATCTTTTCCTCAATTCATGCATCCACAGAGATATAATGTAATGTATGGTATGACTTGCACACATGTTGTACACTCCAAGACATATAAAATAAATTCTTTATTTTTTTGTTGCCCTATCTCTCTTCTTTGACAGTGAGACGAAGTTATGACAAATAGAGTAAATAAATTTGTTATATTATATTATTATTTTGCGTTTATTTTGAACTCTAAAGATAAACACTTTCCTTCTGACTTTACTTGTATGTTTCGTTCTCTCTCTTCTCCCTCTCTCTCTCTCTTGATTGTCACAATCAATACAACTGATGATATATACACAGTCTACTGGTGTTACGTGACATTATGCCTACATAAATAAGAGGAGAATTCTACTCGTCTCTCTCTATCTGGTTTCAGCTGCAATTTTGTTTTTCCCATCAGCTCATTATTTATTGTGTTTTTTGTGATTTTTGTTAAATGTGTACATGTATATTTATTTATTTTTTTTTAAATGTTTTTACATCGGTGTAAAATTTGTTTTGTTTTTCTCTTTTTTTTGTGGTATTATTTTCTCACTCACTTTATTCATATATTCAAAAAAAGCGCTTTCTGTCTGTTGTTCGTTCATTGTATACTTACTTGGCTTGTATGTATGTAAGTAATTGCCTCTCTCTCTCTCTGTCTCTTGTCAATCAGTAGTCAATGTGTAAGTGAACACTCATCAGTCTTTTCTTCTTCTTCTTCATCTTGTGCTTCTCAAAAAAGAAAACAAAAACGAGACAAAAAATGGCGTGCCAGAGTGTATATTTTTTTTAATGAGTAATATAGGCGGCTCCATACAGGTATGGATCCCTCTGACAGTTTTCCTTACTGATTATTTCCCTAAATCAATTTTATTTGGTATTCTTTCTCTGTCTGTCCGTCTCTCTCTCTCCCTGTCTTACTCGGTTGACTCTGAAGTGTTTGGAGAGAAAAATATACTAGAGTATTTCCGACTTATTTACTTTACTGAGAACTCTTCAGTTTATCTCTTTATTCAAAATTGGTCAATCCGATGATGTCACAATGGTTACTGTTATACTACTATCGAGCTGACAGTTAGATAAATACCCTATTTTGTAATTATTTTGTGTTTTGGAATGTGTATTCACAGTTTATAAAAAACCTAGATTCATTTTGACGAACAGTTGCTTCTTTGTTGTTGCTGTTGTTGACTGACAAACAACGTGTCTGAATATTTCTGCTGCACGTGTGTGTGTGTGTGTGCGCGCGGACGCTTGTGTTTAAAACAAAGGTGTTGTTGTTTTGCTCTTCTTTTCTAAAAGGTCGAGAGCGAAAATATATTCGACCTTCGTGTATTTTAAATTTTAAGTCGATTCTTCTGATTTCTGATCACTTTTCTTTTTCATGTTTTCAAGCAGTTCCAATTCTCTCTCTTTCTCTCTCCCTTCCAAATTGGATTCCTTTCCACCGCATATTTAAGTTCATCTATCTATTATGCGTGTGCTAATGATATAATAATAATGATTATTATTATTATTATTATTCGCATCTCTTTGTCGATTGTGATTGTACTACAATTAATTATTATTTTTTTTGGTGCTGCTTTCTGTTCTCATCTTGATCGGCATTGTTATTATTACTATTATTATTGATTATTTACTTTCCATGACCTAGTCTTTCTATATCAAGAAGGCGGGATATATAATGCACAAGAGACGACAGACAGACGGAGAGAGAGGGAGAGTGCTTAAAGACTTTTGGTGTGTTTTCACTAGACTTACAACAATCATTATTACTACTACTACTACACAAGTCATTAACTACAATCATATTTCTCTAATTCACAGGTGTTTTCTTTTTGTTCTGGCTTCTCTGTCCAACAGTCTGCACACACACACACAGGCACGCACAGACAAACGACTTTTGAGTAATTTGTTTCACTTTCAGTTTTTACACTTTTTTTTTCCTTTCTTCCTTTGCATAGATGCTCTCTGGTGTGTCGTTTTATTACTGTTATTATTACTATTACTGTGACAAATACTAATATTATTATTATTATTATTACACCAGGTTATCATTTTATTCAAAGATGTGAGATATAACTAAAAATCTATCGAATTGTCTTTCTTAGTTCTGAGTGTATATATTCATTATTTTTGTTAACACTTTTAGGTGGTGGTAATGTGTTGTTAGTGGATAATGCACGTATACATCATTCTTAGTCATATTGAAGTTCGGCTAGGTTAGAGGAGTATAGATTGTTCTGATTGGTTGGCAATCGGTCCAAGGTTAAACATGACCATCCAACTAGGTGGTTATTTCATGACCACAACGTAAACTAAATCCAAATTTGAGAAATAGACACTTCTACTTGTTCTGCAACTACTACTGTCTTTTAGCATGTTGATTTGAGTTTTGGGTGCTTCCTATCACACTCTGCATCATGCCACAGGTTCATCAATATTAGACAAAGAGGTGAAGCTTATATCGTATCGTGTTTCAAGTTTATGAAATCGGTGTTTAGTAGGTATTTTATTGCATAAACGAAGCAAAATTGGGATCGCAGACTACCTCCGAATGAAATAAGTTTGAGTGCGAATGTGTCACTTACTTTTCTGAAGGCTTTTAATGACCTAGATGAAATGTATAGCTGTTACTTCCCATACTTATTTCATAAATCATTGAGATTAGAGACTGGTTTTCATAATTAAATGCCATAGGGTTTTGT